CCCGCCCCCCACGACCCCCGCCCCCCCCGCAGCTGAGGAGCCCTGGCGCTCCTCGGGCCGGGCCAACTCCTCGCTGGGCCGGTACCGGCTCGGGGACCTCCGGCCCGGGACCTCGTACCGGGTGCAGTTCGTGGGGCGGAACCACTCCGGGGAGCGCGTGGCGTTCTGGGAGAGCGAGGTGCACACCAACGGCACCAGTGAGCCCCGAAACGCCCCAAAATCACCCCAAAATCACCCCAAAAAGCCCCCCCCGAAACGCCCCCAAATCACCCCAAAATCACCCCAAAAAAACCCCGAAATCAGCCCAAAAAAACCCCGAAATCAGCCCAAAATCCAGCCCCGGGGAGCGCGTGGCGTTCTGGGAGAGCGAGGTGCACACCAACGGCACCAGTGAGCCCCGAAACACCCCAAATCACCCCAAAATCACCCCAAAAAAACCCCAAATCAGCCCAAAATCACCCCAAAAAACCCCCTAAATCAGCCCAAAATCACCCCCCCCAAAACAACCCAAATGGCCCCCAAAAAACCTCCAAAATCACCTCAAAATCTAGCCTGAAATCATCCCCCAAAACAACACAAATCGCCCCCAAAAAACCCCCAAAATCACCTCAAAATCTAGCCCAAAATCATCCCCCAAAACAACCCAAATCACCCCCAAAAAACCCCAAAATCACCTCCAAAACCCGTCCAAATCCAGCCCAAAATCACCCCCAAAACAACCCCAAATCAGCCCAAAATCACCCCAAAAAAAAACCCCTAAATCAGCCCAAAATCCAGCCCCGGGGATTTTGCGTTCTGGGAGAGTGAGGTGCACACCAACGGCACCAGTGAGCCCCGAAACGCCCCCAAATCACCCCCAAAAAACCCCCAATTCCAGCCCAAAATCATCCCAAAAAACCTCAAAATCACTCCCAAAATGACCCCAAAATCCAGCTGAAAATCACCCCAAAATCACCCCAAATCACCCCCAAATCACCCCAAAAAAACCCCGAAATCAGCCCAAAATCCAGCCCCGGGGAGCGCGTGGCGTTCTGGGAGAGCGAGGTGCACACCAACGGCACCAGTGAGCCCCGAAACGCCCCAAATCACCCCAAAATCACCCCAAAAAAACACCCCGAAATCAGCCCAAAAAACCCTCAAATCCAGCCCCAAATCACCCCCCAAAACAACCCAAATCACCCCCAAAAAACCCCAAAATCACCTCCAAAAACCCTCCAAATCCAGCCCTAAATCACCCCCAAAAAAACCCTAAATCACCCCAAATTCACCCCAAAAAAACCCCAAAATCAGCCCAAAAAACCCCGAAAATCATCCCAAACAAACCCCCAAATCCAGCCCAAAATCACCTCCCAAATCCAGGCCAAATCACACCCAAAAAACCCTAAATCACCCCAAACCCCCCCAAAATCCAGCTCCGGGGAGCACGTGGCGTTCTGGGAGAGCGAGGTGCACACCAACGGCACCAGTGAGCCCCGGAACGCCCCCAAATCACCCCCAAAAAACCCCCAATTCCAGCCCAAAATCATCCCAAAAAACCTCAAAATCACTCCCAAAATGACCCCAAAATCCAGCTGAAAATCACCCCAAAATCCCCCCAAAAATCGCTTCAAAACCACCCCAAATCCAGCCCAAAATGACCCCCAAAATCACTTCAAAATCAGCCCGAAATCACCCCAAAATCCCCCCCAAAAAAACCCCAAATCGCCCCAGCATCACCCCAAAATCCCCCCCAAAAAAACCCCAAATCGCCCCAGCATCACCCCAAAATCCCCCCCAAAAAAACCCCAAATCGCCCCAGCATCACCCCAAAATCCTGCCCGAATCCCCCCAGAGAGCCCTGAGATCCTGCGGGGGTTCCCAAAATTCCCAGGGGGGGTCCCCAAAACTCCTCGGGGGTGCCCAAAATTTCCCAAGGGGCTCCCCAAAATCCCCGGGGGGTCCCCAAAACCCCTCGGGATCGCCCTAAATTCATCGGGGTTGCCCCGAACTCCTCTGGGGTGTCCCCAAAATCCCTTTGGGGGTCCCCAAAATTCCTCGGGAATGTGCTAAACTCTCCGGGAATGTCCCCAAAATCCCCGAGTGGGTCCCCAAAATCCCCGGGGGGTTCCCCAAAAATCCCCGGGGAGGTTCCCATAGTCCTCGGGGATGTCCCCAAAATCCCCGGGGGGGTCCCCAAAAATTCCTTGGGGGGGTCCCCAGAGTCCTCGGGGATGTCCCCAAAATCCACGGGGGGTCCCCAAAACCTCTCGGGATCGCCCTAAATTCATCGGGGTTGCCCCGAACTCCTCTGGGGTGTCCCCAAAATCCCCGAGTGGGTCCCCAAATGGTCAATGGTTGGTCAAAAAATTCCTCGGGAATGTGCTAAACTCTCCGGGAATGTCCCCAAAATCCCCGAGTGGGTCCCCAAAATCCCCGGGGGGTTCCCCAAAAATCCCCGGGGAGGTTCCCATAGTCCTCGGGGATGTCCCCAAAATCCCCGGGGGGGTCCCCAAAAATTCCTTGGGGGGGTCCCCAGAGTCCTCGGGGATGTCCCCAAAATCCACGGGGGGTCCCCAAAACCTCTCGGGATCGCCCTAAATTCATCGGGGTTGCCCCGAACTCCTCTGGGGTGTCCCCAAAATCCCCGGGGGAGACCCCAAAATCCCCGGGGGGGTCCCCAAAATGGGATTTCCCGCCCCCCCCCGCAGTGCTGCCGCGCCCCGCGGGCGGCTTCGCCACCGAGGGTTGGTTCATCGGCTTCGTGAGCGCCGCGGTGCTGCTGCTCCTCCTCCTCCTCATCCTCTGCTTCATCAAACGCAGCAAGGGGGGCAAGTATTCGGGTGAGCCCGGAGCCCCCCGGCCCCCCCCGGCACCCCCGGGA